GATTCAGGTATAGTCGATTGGTGTTGCTTTTATTTCATTTTGAACTTTGTTTTGTATAGAAACATCTCTTTTGATTCGGTAGGTTAAGTTTTGACTTTTGATGTATTGGAAATAAAAACGTAAAATCATGTTAACCAAATTAAAGTTTGATAAATTTTTGTTGGTTAATATAAATGGTTCTCAAACGTAAAGAGTGTTACAAAGAAACGAAATCTTGATCTTAGATAGAGTTAGTACCTCCAACGAGCAGATGGAGGAATCCAGACAACGGAGTGTTTATGGTGATCAAAGGCTCGAATCGCATCGTTAAATGTTCGAGCGGACAAGACATGGTCGTGTGTTTTAAGTGCCTCTTTAGCTGCTTCCGGTGAAGATATAACCACTGCGGTTAACCTTCCAAGCTTCAAACTCATTATAGATCCATAAGTTCTGGAAAATGCAGCAAGTGAACGGTGAGGATTAAGACCGAGTTGGAATATGTTTCCGACCAATGGGAGTCCCGGAGGACCAGGCGGAAATGAGCCTCGACCACTTTCGCTGGAGTTCCTTCGTGTTTTTGCCGTGGCAAAGAAGAAAAAGAAGAGTGTTAAGAGAAAACAGACGAGGAGAGACATGGCCGGAATTAGTGAGAGGTCCATTTGCACGACTGTGTTTCCTAAAAAATGTTAACGCCATCATGCATTTTTATATTCATATTTTTCACGTTTTTTAAAGAAAAAATTATAAAAGAAAAGTTAAAGATATTATCAAATTTGGAAAAGCAAGTTGGCAAAAAACTGTCACGTACAGTTGCGTGTGTAATGTTTCTATTGTTGGTTTTATAACTAAGGAGTTCTTGAAATTTGTTTCTTGTCATGCACAAGTATGGAAAGTTGGCAACTAAACTTCTTACCTAATTGTTGGCATACGTAGAGAGAAGTTATGGTGCAATTTAATTCTTAGCCTTAGATGTTTAAATAAAGAGACAAGACATGTAATTTAGTGACTTATTAGAGTCGTCAATCTGGAAAATATATGATTCTGAAATTATGTTGACACATAGGAGATCAAAAAATCAGCCTGCCAAATTTGTATGAACCGACGACACCAACCAATACACATTTAGTTGCATATATGTGCATCTCAGTACAATCTCGAGTTATCTACCAAATCAAATCACAAAATGTAAAATGGAAAGGTTTATATTAATTTTATTATTGTGATTTTGTTGTGCATTTAAGTTTCTATTGATCAATTCTGTGGGATTGGTTAAATTGCTATAATTATTAGTGTTGCTMATTGCTACTGGTTAAACTGCTATAATTAWTATTATTATGAGGAGATTACTGTTTATCTGTTGATCAGATTAATTACTATTTGGCAGCTTAAAGATGTTTCTTTAGCTAGTGTTAACTTTACTTGTTCCGTTGTTAGGTTAAGCTGCTAAACCTGGTTGTGCCAATGTATCTCTCTTGATGAGAAATGGAGTTGATAGGAAACTCTTAAGCTCACTTAGTAGAGAAGATCATGAAGAACTCTTGTAGTATTGCACTTTATAAACCCAACCCCAACTCTGGTCATTTACTAGTATAATATTGTCTGCTTTTGAATAAGTGGTCAAGTCGACACAGATTTGTCTTTTTGATCAAAATTACGATTTCAATGCATTTTGAAATTGATATATATGAACTAAAAGATGTTGGACTTATCAAACAAAATAGGTGGAACTGAAAAGACATAATCGTGATAATATGCAATTTTTAATGAAATAAGTGGTTATAAGTACACAAGTACATACGATAAATAAAAGACAACCATATTAACGGTGATGAACGAAAATATACATACAAAGAAATTATGGGGAAAAACGCAATCGTATAATAAATATACACAATCTTAAAGTACATAAGAAAAAAGTATGATGAACAAACGCAACAATCATTTTGTAGGATTGCTATATTATTAATAGATATAGATGGAAGCATATTAAGACGATATTATAGGTTTCTGATGGGTACGAGTGACGTACGACATAGAGAGGTACTTCCCGTTCAATTTGTTTTTTCTTTTGCAATATGTAGTGCATACAAAAGAAACTAGTTAGAGAGTGTCTTGAAGGTATTATGTAAAAAATCTTAAACCAATTAAATTTATACAAGTGTTAGAGTATCTCTATCCATTGTCTCTAGGTGAAATATCCATAAGATTTTCTTACCAATTTAAAATTGTCATTCTTAATAGATTTTATTTATGTCAATTAATTAATGTTAAAAAAAATAAACTGAACCAATAAAATGAAGATAAGTGTACAATGAGTCTCTTATGGATATCTCATTGAGAGAAATTTAAATTAGATGAGTTTAAAAATTGTGGAAGAGTTTCTTACCATTGGTGTAAACCTCTTCAAGAAACTCACGATTGGATATAACTAAGGAGTTCTAAAAATTTGTTTCTTGTCATGCACAAGTATGGGATGTTAACTATATCATGCATTTTTATATACATATATAAGTCTCAACCTATATATAATGACTAGGTGAATCGCTCGCGTTTTACGTGCGTAAACTATTTATATATTTTTCACTTAAAAATGTGAAAATATGTATTAGTTTTTATTTTTATTATAGATATTATTGTCGATATTTATTTTGTTGTTAATGATATGAATTTTTGGAAGTTTAGTTTACTATTTTATTATTCATAGAGGTAAACGTGTGGTCAAATTAAAATGTTGAAT